AATTTTATTTGGGAATATTGTTGCAACCTTTACAGTAAGGTACAGTACTTACTTTTGATTTTCATCTTTTTATTCAAATTCTAGTAATGAACCCCTTTAAATGTTATCTCTCAAACCACTCAAACTGTATCTGATTGATGGCCGAGTACCTTAACCTTACTTACACACAGTTATAGATGTGTTGTAAATGATGCTGTTTTATGGTTTTATCAGTTATTATTATTTGATTAGCTGTTGACCTTAGTTATAAATAGTATGTGCCTCATAAGATAATTATGTAATATTATGCTAAGTACAGTACTAATAACATACCAAAATATTGTTAAAATACCATTTATAGTAGAAACCCTCATTTACGTACGGGACGTACGTAAAATCGGAGTAGTGTAAAATTCCTATGTATTTATGCTACCGATATGCTAGGCTGGGCTAGGCTAGGATTTAAAATCATCGCATTAGATCTCTATTGATTATAATAATATTTTTTATTAATAGGAACCTTGAAGATCAGTACTAATGTGGCATTCATAGCCAATATTTTAATAATCAGGAAAAAATTATCAGAATCTTGGTATTGGAAAGCATGGTATACTGTACTGTAGCTCCATTAAGTTAAATTTTCATTTATAACATTTGTAATGTATATTCTACTGTGCCTCATTAATCAGTGGGAGCCGTTGGCAAAATTGAAGTAGGGGTTTGAACATTTCGCTTGTTTTACCTATCCAATATATTTGTCTCTCTCCACCCAGTAGTATGTACCTGGGAGGTTAAAAAGTCAGCATGGAAAAGAACTGGTCACACTACCACACAGTGCTGAGGCTTATTACGATGGGCTCCTAAACAGTTCATTTGTTTTACTGTACAGTATATTCAGATGATGAAGATGGGACTACCTTTACTGTACCTTCATCGTTATCATAGTTAAATATATGTCAATCATTCAATTTGTTATTAAATTGTTCATTTGACTGTATGATACAGTATATGGAATGTCAATAATATATTATTGGCATGACATTGATAATTCACTCATTTTTTTCTCATTGTTCAGTTGAACATGAACATTATTGTAGGTATGATGACAGCATGAATACAAAAGCAATGAAGTGTGTGAATTAATATTGATTAGATACAAACTCAGAATTACTGTAGGGTGGCAGCTCCATAGAATATGTATGTATCTACTTTACGCTGAACACCAACTACAAAGAACAATATTAACTTTGTGGCCTTGCCCTGTGACTTCAACATTTAATCACATTTAGACCACTACTGTATGTACTATTGCTATTTATCCATTATTTTATTTTTTGGTAGAGCATACTTTGTATAAAAAAGTAAGGGTAAAAAGGCAATGAAATAAAGTAATCTACAGTATGTATGAAGCTATCTGGAATTGAATACCTCTGTTTATATATACCTGTTCATGGTTCATCAATCAGGCCAGTGGGCACACTTATGTGTAAATTTACATATTCCTACAGTAGGAACTTGCTTGCATATTAATGTTAGCCTGTGCATACTGATAATCTGCACACTCAAAACCTTATTTCTTGACCAGTTTGTATGTCACATAGAAATTACATGATCATTAGACATCTGTACTCAAAGTCAATTTGGTTGCACATGGTCCTTGGATGAAATAACAAAGGTGAGGTCTCACCACGAAATGAGACGCATTGTTGGTGAAATCATATTGAGATATTCACCAAAACAGGCCAAAATCAACATTTTTACAAAATTTTTATTTTAATGTTTTTGAATAACTTGATACTTATATTTTATGATTGTATACTTTGTAAGTGAATTTTCTTGCCAAAACAGTGTTCTCTGCACATATTCTGTAATTCTAGTCATATTATTTGTACAGGTTAGTTTATCTTTGAGGCCGATTTTCTCAAATCTTGGTTCTTATACACCTAAACTTTAAATGCTAATACATCTCTGAATTTACTTATAGTAGGGAAGCCATTCAAAGACCAAATGTAAGCTTATAATGTGATCTACCCAAATATAATATAAACTCAATTTTTGAATTTCTAACCATGAGACTCATTTTGTGGCGAGACCTCACAGTGGCCCAGACAGTACCTCAGACAGTACCTCAGTAGGTAATCTTTGGTCAAAGGTCCAATGGAAAAACTGTTGTGCTGTTGGTTGGATATATCACACATTCTCCCCGAGGCATTAGTTTCTAAATTTTTAGTTTTTCTCTTCCCCAGACAAACCACTAATATTGCTCAGGAGGTAATGATTGATGTTTAAGATATTTTATTTTTATATAAGCTGATGTTTGAGACATTTTATATTAAAATAATTTTCTTAGTCAAAGGGTGTGTTTCTACTGATAAACACAAAATAATTTATTTTTTAAAACCCTTTTTTTTTTACCAGACAGCCTGCTGGCGTTGCAACTGCATTTTTTATTTTTCGAAAATCGGTTTTCGTGACGGAAATTACGTCACCATTTTGTTTATACAACACGTTTTCCTAACTGTATAGGATAGTATCTTTCTCATTCGTGTCATGATGACAAAGAGTAAGATACGATGTGGGGCGAGAAGGCAAATGTTTTCGGCTGTTCAAACTGGTCCCGTTTCTACTGCGAGAATAAAAGCGATTTTTCGAAAAAGCGATTTTTAATCGATTATTTCTTTCCAGTAGAAACAGGCCCAAAGGCACAAACATATTTTCTTTCAGGTATGCACATACAGAAGGCTAGTTAGAATGCTGACATTACATTTTTAGCCAGTAGCTTATATGCCTTATCAGAGTTCATAGTTTACATACTGTACCTAGATAAATATTACTCAGCTTATAAGGTGCCAGCAAATTCCTACACCTTTAGGGAAATGTTTTGCTTAACAATGTTGCACTGAGTATTTTGTTGATTTTGTGCACAGAACTGGGTCAGGTTATGTTAACATTAGTATCTCCTGTTACACTGTTGTTTAACCTATTTCCTGCTGTAAATGAGAAACAGTCCTATTATGATAATATTAATAACAACAAGGTATACAATGGCTTGGTTCTCACAAGAGCCTTAGTATCCGAATCGGGAGCTAACCGTTAGCGCTAACCGTTAGCACCTGCGTGAGAACGCCCGATCGGTTAGAGCTAACCGTTAGCGGTATCCGAATACGCTAACGGTTAGCAAGCGCTATCGGTTAGCAAGTTAAGGGCGTTTCTGTCATCAACCAATCACACGTACGCATTTACAATTTCCAGTTTCTTATTGGCCAGTGATTCGATCATCATATTGTTGGTATCTGGATCAGGATTTTCTCGCATGGACGCACGGCAACTAACGGTTAGCAGGATCCGGATCCTGCTAACCGTTAGCTGCCGTGTGAGAACATAGCCAATATTCACTTACCTATGAAATAGCCACAACAAGCAATGTTGTAAAAACTGCTACCAAAAAAATACCTAAAAAATGAAGTGAAACTTGGTAATTTAAAAAGAATTAACAATTATATTAGGCTATGGTAGTCACAAAAATAATGTTTTCATTGATTTTGTTCAGTAAATCAACAGTAAATGAGTGAAGAAAAAAAAAGGTAAATCCTATTTTTCCCCAGTGTTTAGTATTCAAAATTTATTTAAAACATTTTATTTCATTTCATTTCCTTTCATTTTGTTCAATATCAAAATCACAGTCGAAGACTGAATTGTAAATGATACTTACAATAACAGTAGTATAAAACAGTACAGAACAGTAATATAAAAATATCAAGGATTAATTATTAATTAACAATATACATATACTGGTGTCACATCAAGCTGTGACTCGATGTGTATCTACTGTACCTTCACTTCAGAATGACTGGAGTCTAACCAAGTTTCTTATTCATGAGCACGAAAGTACAGCTAGTGCAAAATTGGCAGACTGGCCTACGTACGTCATGTGGCATTAGCGCGAACTCTCGTACCACAGACACTCACTAGGCCCAATTTTACTCGGAAAGGTAGGTGTTGAGCACATGGTCAAGATATTAAGGCATCGGCACAACGAACAAGCGAACAAACGAGGACAACGGTAGGCCCAGAAGAGTGGAGAAGCCTGTAGTCCCAATATCCTCCCACCAAATAATTACAGTAGGAGTAATTTCGTCGCTCCACATGTTTGTTGACGTTTCAGCTTGTAAGCCTAGGACGTGAAAAAAAAGGACTAATCGTTCTCACGTGATATGAGCTAGCTTTGCAGTGGTTTAACCTTGAGTTCACCTTTCACCTGATAATCGCTTTTTTGTTTTGCAGCTAAAAAGTGCACAGCCAAAATCGGTTATTTGCCGTTCAAACACACTATCCATTGCCTGTTTTTAATTAAAAAATTTTAATCGCTTTTTTCAAACTGGCCCCGTTTCTACGTTATTTGAAAAAACAATTTTTAATCGTTTTTTTTCCTTCTCAGTGCTAGTGTGCTTACATGTATAATAGCAGTAGTACTTTTGACCCACAATTGACCTTGAACTCATTAGTTTTATGTTGAGCAGTTTTGAACTTTGGTGAATGCAGGAAAATGATGTGAATGATAATATATTAAAAATGTGTAATGGGAAAAACCAACACAGTATCAGCCTGGTCTCTTTAGGTCAGTTAATAGATGTACAGTAGATTTAGTGTAGAGAATTAGAATTAAATCCTAATAGGAAAAACAAAATATTATCTGAATTTATATTGTTATTGTGTATTAATGCAATAAATGAGGATGAATGTGCCCTAATTGGAAAATCCAAGGGAATATACATCAAGGTCTCACAGCTCAGTTTTCATAAAAGAGGAGGTCATGAGTTTAAATCCCAATTTTTCTCAATTTTTGTTATTTTTATTTTACCATAAAACTGAGTATATTTTTAAAATAAAAGTTAATGTGAATATGCATTAAAATATAGAATAGTATATCTAGTTCTAAGATGGTAATTTTCCTTTTTTTAATATGATGATGAAAAATTATTAATTGTGTTCATTACAGTACTGCATTTATTTGATTTCAGAATGTGAAGCTGATGTTCAACCCTGTTACATAGGATCACTGTCACTGCTTCAAGGGTCATGGGTCGCAGCTTATGATGACCTTGCATCACATATCTCAGGTTGTACTGTTGCATACAATTCGTCTACCTCAGTTGTGGCGTATGTGTTAAGTTTGACATCGGCAGGACTTGCTAAGCCGAACTTGGAGAAGCAACCAGTGGTCTTGAACATTGAACAGACCCCCTTTGCTATGTTGCAGTCATCGGCAAAAATTGTATTTGTGCTTAGCTCATCTGATCCAGTTTCTTGGGATATCCGAATGACAACACTTTTTAAACTACCAAGTTTTCTTGTATTTGTAAGTATGGACTTTAAATTTTTGTAAATTTGAAATTCAAGGATATCTAAAAGTATAATTTTGCCAACTCTAGAAAACCACATTTTGCATAATGACATTCTGCAATTTGATAAGATATTTCAATAGTGAAGCATACAAACAATATCTTAATATACAGAGCAAACAGTAAACAATAAACTAATCATCTAGTACAATTATATAGGTTCTGTGAAGCTGTGTCTACTCTATCACATTTTATGTGACAATTTTGTATGATGTGCCCATATATAGACATGATGATGTCATATTACGCCCATATATTGGTAGTGTGGAAAGAGCTTAAAAGATGATAATTTGAGTACTTGACAAGGTTGACTCCTATAATACTGGTTGAGATTTACACACTGTGGACCAGTTTGGTTCATTCATTCATTATTGTCCAAATATAGAAATATAATTTATAATTAATAATTAAAATCAAATATACTGGAACTCTCCACATAAACAAAGTGTTGCACTAAAACGGATGGTGGGAATGCCAGTGTACAATTGTTTATCTCCAGCCGTATTGTCCAAATATAGAATATAATGTCATAATTAATATTTGAAATCAAAAGGTATTAGAAACACAAGATAGAAATCTCCACATAAAAAAAGTATAGCACTAAAATGGATGGTAGGAATGCCAATGTAAGATTGTTTATCTCCAGCCATATGTAGCACCCCATTTAAATAGAGCACTAGAGATAAACAAACTTCATCAACTGTCAACTGTGGATGCGCTATGGTGATGTACGGTGTAGGATGTTGCTTTGTGATAAATTGCAATGCAAAACTATGAAAAAACATCACTAGTTGGTATTTTATCTTTTCCCAAAGCATAAAGAAAGGCAAAATGTTGTATGGAGATTTTTTGAAAAATAAGTAGAATATTTACAGTTACATTTTATGAATAAAATATAGTAATTTCACTTAAACTTAAGAATAATTTAATTACATGCGGGATGCGCATTCGGTTCTGGGTACTGTACATGTATTGCAATGAACTGACCACCAATAGTGTAAAGAGAAGGGCGCCGCATACGTCTGGAGATGCGTAAAAGCTTCACATTTTGCTATGCAATATTTTTAGTATCTTTGTTAACAAAATACTGAAAGTAACCAAATCATACAAAGTAGTTATTACCAAATTGTTTAATCAAAGAAGCAATACAATATCAATTAAGCATTGTTAGTTCCTATGCATGTAATGCAATAGGAACTATTGTAATCACTCTTGCTATTTCCTATGTTTTTTATTGTGTGTAGTGTGTATGTGTGTGTGTAGACATTTATGCAAATGCGCATGCGTCAAAGAA